TGTATGGTTATTATTAAAAAATTAAAATAAGTTATTATAATATTTCGAAAATACTATATAATATTTTTTAATATTATGCGAATATTCTGTAGAGGTGTTATATATTATTAAGGTATTATATCCATTTATATAATATCCTAAGTATTATATCTTAATATCCTTGATATATTATTAAAATATTTATAAATATTAATTATTCTCAATTTAGTGCAATTTGAATTCACAAGCCAGTAACGAAAAGTTCTTATTAGTTTATGCTGCATCTTGTGCTAAAAAAACATTTTCGCATGATTTTAAGTACATATCCAGTTCTACAATTGCACGTCAAAATTATTTTCAGTCTTTAAACGTACTTATACTAAACAGTTGTAACAGTTTTACAAATTAAAGTACCATTCAATAACGTTACTTTTAATAATCATGAAATATTATCAGGAGTGGACATATAACCTTCCATTAATATTTCGAGAATATTACTTAATATTATATAATTTTAATACAATATTCTTAAAATGTTACATTTAATATTTTAAGAATATGTCTAAAATATTACTTAATATCGAAAAATATTATGCGCTTATAAGGTAAGTATTCAAGTGTGTAGCACACAGCGCTTACACAAAGCATTAACAAAGCGATAAAAAAGCACACATAATCGCTTTTTTAGCACTTTATGCAAGCGCTGTTGTGCTATTTGGGTATGCTGTAGTTATAATAGTATACTTATGTATTTGTAGGCTTGTGTTACGCGGAATTCGCGTCGAGAGTGCCAAAAGCTGGATCAGCGTATGTTTATAGTTACGTAACGGTAGGCGAGTTCATCGCCTTCGTCATAGGATGGAACTTAATTCTGGAATATGTAATTGGTGAGAAATATATGATTGGCGAAAAATCGAAAATCACGCGAAATGCGCGGCGAGAAAAGCCAGTCGCAGATATTAATGACAGCGTAAAGGCGCGGCGTAACATGTATCTAATTATCTACATACATATATAAATAAAACGACATTTTAAAATGATTTTATAGGCACAGCGAGCGTTGCTCGAGGTCTTAGCAGTTATATCGACGCGTTAATAGGAAATGTCATGGGAAATGCTCTACGCTCTCTTATGCCTATCGATGTTTCTTTCTTATCAGAGTATCCTGATTTTTTCGCTTTCGCGATGGTCATGTTACTAGTGGTGTTATTATGCATCGGTGTGAAGGAATCGTCCATCTTAAACAACATTTTTACCGTTATAAACTTGATAACTATCACGATCGTTATCGTTGCAGGATCGATGAAAGGTAAGCCGCAATTTATGCACCCTTATAGAATATGCGTCCAGATTATCGAGCCTCAAGTCGCGAGCATTTCGGTAAACATTTATTTAATTGTTACGCGACTCGGCAAACAACAAGTTAGCTCATAACAATGAAAGTTAGCTCATAGCTCGATAGTTTGGATGCACCCTCTAAAAGACTAAAATATATAATATAAAATATATAATATATAATATAATAAAGACTAAAATATATAAATATATATGAAGTTTGAAGTTAAGCCGCGCCACGCATACCGAATATTAAACATAACAATTATTAAACAACATTAATTTCGATATGACTCGAAAAATGATGGCATATATTATTTCAAATATATATGTAAGTATAGATATATATGTGTGCGCGCACGCGGGTGTTTGTCCTTAAATACCTATAAAGATGTGTAAACTTCTCATCTTAATCAAAAAATTTAAATTGTTAGCTTAGTCATTGTTAGCATATAAAGCTGCTATAGCTGCTAGCATATAAAGTTTCACACACACACACACACACACACACACACACGCACGCACGCACGCACGCACGCACGCACGCACGCATGCACGCACGCACGCACGCACAGCTCCTAACGAATTATATATGTTTCTAACCAAATATATGCTTCTAGCGAATCCATCAAACTGGTCAATCGCACCCGAAGATATTCCAGATACTGTGAAGAATGGAGGAACTGGTGGATTTATGCCGTTTGGCATGAGTGGAGTGATGGTCGGAGCGGCCAAATGTTTTTACGGATTCGTGGGATTCGACGCGATCGCTACTACCGGCGAGGAAGCCAAGAATCCTCAACGTCATATTCCTCTTGCGGTCGTGTTATCCCTCATTGTTATATTCATAGCGTACTTTGGTGTCTCCATAGTCCTAACGATGATGCTGCCTTATTATGCTCAGGTAAGTATAATAAAATCTATATCATATATTATAATAATCATTCTCTATAAAGTGTAAGATAGTAACAACTATTGCAAAAGCAATTTAACATTTTCGATCGATTACTCGTTGGGAGGTTTTCTTAGCCTAGATCTGATGTTTGAAGAATTCAAACGAGAATCTTCGTGTTTAGAGTGCGGACGCGCCGTTTCCACACGCATTCGACGAGATCGGCTGGCCTGCCATCAAATGGATCGTCAACATAGGCGCGATATTCGCGCTCTGTACCAGTCTCTTGGGCGCTATGTTTCCTTTACCGCGCGTATTGTACGCCATGGCTAGCGATGGTATAATATTCAAGACTCTCTCCACGGTGCATCCCAAGACAATGACGCCTATTTACGGCACAGTGCTCTCTGGTTTACTTATCGGTATGTATATAATAGTACTAGAGCTTGGGGGGGAGGGCTGCATGCAGCGTTTAGCAGCGATTAGAAGCAATCGGATCAGAATCGTATAATCGAGGCGCGCAATGTACATATATACCTATAAATATTTAACAACTTATTGACATTTAATTCTTTTAATATTTAACGTAGGTACTATTCTGCATTTTAGGTCTCATGACACTCATCTTCAATCTGCAACAATTGATCGATATGATGTCTATCGGAACTCTACTTGCGTATACGATAGTAGCGATATGTGTTTTGATATTGAGGTAACATTTGATAATTGATCGAGATCGAGAGTTGTAAATATTTATAAATCATATCAAGTGAAATTAATCAAAACTAGTAGGGAGTATACATTTTTATAGATATCAAAAAGAAGAAAATTCCAGTAACGTTTCTGTGATATTACCAACGAGCAATTATCAACTTACACCTGTAAATATATTTAAGGAATTGTTCAATTTGCAAAATCGGAAAGAACCAACAGAACTTTCTAACAAAATTGCAAATATCGGCATTGCCTTC